AGAGTCTAGAGAAGGAGGGAGATTAAACCTTAACAGAGAGAATTTTAGGAGAGGTGAGTGGAAGGTGTTTAAGTAAGAGAAATATGAATGTTCATATTTCTCTTACTTAAAAACCTCTTTGTTAAGGTTTAATCTCCCTCCTTCTCTAGACTCTCTCTAAATTCTGTTTTTATTTCTGGAGTTGTTTTTTCTATTTTCTTTTTGAATTTGTAGGTTTGATGAATTGGATCGTATTTACGATTCCAATGGAATAAATTATGACCATGGAATATTAGTGTTTAAGCCTTTTTATTATATCCTTACTCTGTCCCAGACATTGAGTTCTACCTGGATTCTATCCTCTCTGAATTTTTTATTCAAAAAATATACATATATGTGTATGCACCTATGTATATATATCTATATATTTTGCATGTGTATGTGTATATTTACCACTAATATTATCTATCTATCTATCTATCTATCTATCTCTCTCTCTCTCTCTCTCTATATATATATATATATATATATATAATGATAATAGCTGGTCACTCATATTCAAGGACACCCATCTATTAGGGCAGCTAGCTAATACTACATATTGCAGATGCCTGCTCTGTGGTTTATACTGCAACTATGCTGAGCAGCCTTTAGTCACAGTTTCTGGGAAGGAAAGTGTTATCCAGCATGATCAACAATTTGAACAAGGACAGCACGCTCAAGCCTCAGCCTCGATGACTTGCGACTTCATGCTAGCACAGCTATCAACAGCCCTCAAAGATTTCACTTACCCAATTTCACTCACAAGGCTTGGATCAACCATGGTATTGTTTTCAGGAACTATTCAAAGGTGCCACATGCTGGGATCAACCCCTCCAGTCTAATAACATCAGAAAATCTCCTTTCTGACAAATGGTGAGATTTGAAACTGGGTCTCATGGTCAGAATATGAACATTCTAACCACTCGGCCACATGCAACTAGAATAGAAATTAATGCTATACACAAGATGTTAAATGTCTACAAAAGTTCTGGAATGTAATTCCCATCATTACTAGAAAGAGTGATAACAGTAAACTGAAGAAGTCTAATTTTCTGAAAAAACTGACTTAAAGGAAGGATTTTATAAATTCCAACTGACAGTAATGATAAATCTTTGTTCAGCAAATGTTAAACGATTTCCCGTTTGAAAATAGCTAATTTAACGATTACCATTTCTGCCAGTTTGTTACCTTGAACATTAGTAATCAACTACAGTATTTGGCCTAGTGTTCATGAGTGAAATTGTTTGATACTTACCATCATTATCCTTTGTTACAAGCAAAGGAAAAGGGTGAGGCTTGGTCGCTGTGGCCCGAATTTCATATACAAAATCACCCAGTTTGCTGTTACTAAAAATAATACTGCACTGGATGGCCCCAATAGTAAAGGGTAAGAATAAGATATTGATCTTCTTTTTCTTGTAAGCTTCAAAATGCACTTTTTGTAAACGGCAGTGGAATGATTTTACAAAGAAACCTCTATCTGAAAAAGGAAATGCAAACTATTGTATACAGTCTGGTTCAGAATGAAATATCAAATGTAAAAATTAAGAAAAAACAAAACAAAAATACTTTAACTGCAAAAATAAATCAAAAGAATCTCCTGTGATCAGATGCTGATCGATAGTATCAAATGATCATATATGGCAGCATAACAGCATTGGTTACTACTATACAAGTAGGAAAAGAAGCCAACTGTTGTGATATTACAGTTTAATTTTGTTCATGGAAGGGTCACCAGTCAGCATAAGATAAAATTAGGGAGTAAGCTACTAACAAATAGAGAGAGAAAATGAAGCCATGACAGAGAGAAATGACTAAACAGTATCTAATAACCAACAAGAAATAAGGCTTTAGATAGTAAAAGTGAATAATACCACCTTGGAAACTAAAGTAAATAATGTCTTTGAAAAATTAGTTATTGAATTCAATCCCTTCTCACTTAACTACTGGGTTCCATTCTGATGACTTGGTCACTAAACAAGCTAGTCAGTAAGTGAGAAGTTGTAGCTGAACTCCATTTTAAGTATGCTAGGTATGTAATGGGTTAGTATCAAACAGATTCAGATTTTTCTCCTGCCCCTTTTACATTTGATATGTCTTATGAGTGTCATGTTTTCTAGACTTTCTTTTCTCATTCATATTTTTACTATTTGTAACTTTTCTAATTTATATCCAAATGTTTATACTATACAGCAGTGTAAGAAACAATAAAAATTTAATAAACAAATTAAAAAGATCAGCTCTATATTCTCTACATTAGTTATGATTATTTAGGTTTGCATAGCCAAGTAAATTTTTATTTATTTTTCATTTTATTTATTTCTGAAGAAAAAGAAAACATTCATGATCAAAGTTGTGTTCAATATACAAGGTCTGAACAAAACGTATCTGTACTGGTGTTATAAAAAGAAAACTACAACAAATATCAATTTGGTATTTAATCTCCTTCAAAGTAGTTCCCTTATGAAGCCACACACTTTATCCAGCATCATTTACATTGATAGAAACTTTCCCGGAATTTTTTTTTGGAGATAGCAAGCAGCTGCCTTGTTGCATTCTCTTGGATTTCTTTGATGTCTTGAAATCTAGTTCATTTCAAGTGAGATTTCATTTTTGGAAAGTGAAAGTTGCAAGGGATGTGATCTGAGGCATATGATCATTGCTGAACCTGGGGAATATGATGGATGTTGAATCTGGGGAATGCAGTGCTTTGCTAAATATTACTTCACAGAGAACTTCTGTGGTGTAACGAGACAACCACAGTCTACATACTGTTATGGAGTGATTTTGCAGTGGAGGCCTGTATTTGTACTAAGTCGGTCCTAAAATAGGTTCGACGTACAAAACGTTAGGAACTTGATATAATAGGCATTACGCAGAGTAATCTAGTTGTGGTTGCTGATACTTTCATATTCGACTAACTGTTGTCCAACATCGACTGACTCCCTGACTCACTCCTCGTTTCTTTTGCTACTCCTACTTATTATAGGTGGGAGGTCTATTACTATAGAATAGGTGTGTTTCACCATAACACATACATTCCTTTCAAATACTACTATAAACAACCAAAGTGAGCAAGAAGATTATAACATAATTTGCATACATGACAGAGTTCAAGGTCAATCTGTTGCAAGTGGCTCTCACTCTGCATACTTTAGCTCCATTACCATAGCAACAGTTTGGACATTTTTTATCAGACCTCATACAATAACAACAAGTTGGATTTTTTAAAAAACTCTTATTTTATGTTATTTTATAGCTGGTCATAAGTCTTGTGGAGTTATTAAACAGGTAAACCATTAGCCCTGAAAATATATACTCTTTTTAGCTGGTGTCGTATGACTGGAAATATTTGTTTGAGTGGCTTGTGAAAATTGCTTTTTGATTTAGGCTTATTTGGTGTATTCACTACAATTATTCTCAGTAAATGTTATATCCACTGATAAAATTTAAGAGTTCTATCTACCATGAATTGGGGTGGAAAAAAAGAAAGATTTTCCTTAAAGACATGTCAAGTATAAAAGGGACAGGAGAAAATTTGAATAACCTACTGAATGAGTTTATGTAAATGGTTGACAGAGAATCAGGGTGGGAGGATGTAACAAACACAGATTAAAGTATAAAGTATAGGAAGTGGTGGGAAGCCATGTTTGCTCATATCCTGAAGGGTAACAGTGCATAAAAGAAGAAAAATATCACAAAATCTTTATAAGGAAAGGGAAAGAAAAAAAAAAAAAACAATCAACTGACTGAATTCTTGGTCTGAAATGATATCTGAGCCCTGCTTGCATGTTGACCATCGTGTCGGTCGATTGGACTGAGATTTTTTCTTTACTGGATAAGTAGACAATCCTTCCACAATGGTGATTGTAAATTCTCCGCTGGTACTGAATGGACTCAGTATGTCCAATGGAATAGAAAGTAACTCATAGCAATGAGACTCAGCAGACATTACATTCTACAAGTTAAAAGGAAAAAAAATTAAAGAATCATCATTCAAATATGTTCAACAATTCATTCATAATCTGTCTACTTATTTGACATTAAGGATAAACTTCTTGCTGGACACGTAAAGAGCATTATGGGAGACTGGTTTGATGAACTTCTTATATTCTCCATTCTAGGCTAGTTGTCAAGGTATGTAACTGAAGATGTATTTTGTCAAGGTCTCTTCAGTTACAACAGAACAATAAAACAGAAAGCAGAGATAAGTGAGATAATGCTTTTCAAAAAAGGCATTCCTGTGAAAGCTTCAGTTGAAATTCAAACTAGTTCACTGATTATATTTTTAACATCTATTCAGACTCCAGTTCACTCCTGACATCAAGTGAAACTCATCTACATGATCTACTAATAAGATGCAAGAAAAATGGTCAGCTCTTTGAACTGTTCCAAAAGTATCTGCATCCTTCTGCCATGATTTATTTCAAAAAGAGTTAGATTAGACCAAAAATGGAGTATTGCTGCCATGTCTGGGATAAAACTGCCAAATTCACAATTTCCAAACTTGGTAGAATTCTAAATCACTTAGCAGTCTTGTAGGGAATGACTTATTTTCCACTCAATAATATTTTTGTCCACAGACATAACATTGCAAGCCTATTGCTACACTATGGCTATCTTCATAGCATGTGTTTAGATGAGCTCCACTCTTTAGGTCCAATATTTCAGACCTTTACAACTTAGCATCACCATTTTTCTGCAATGAAGTCTAATCACCCACATTTCATCTGTATTCTGGAAATATATATCTAAATGAATATAAGTTATTGCACGTAGAGTGCTGGTGTTAATAAAATAGTGCTTGATGTAATATAACAGAGTTATTAAGTATATATTAATAAATATATTATCCCTCACTGACTGAGTTTCATGCACAACATTATCTTCAGGTGCTGGGTAACATATATCAGTAATCTTCCAAAATCTTGCCTAATCTGACAAAAGGAGTTATATACATCCTGGATTGTGAGATTGAGCTTACAATTGAATGTGAATATGAATTGAATATTGATTTTCTAAACATAGCTTAGATGTGGCATGAGGCCAAATGTATGGGGCACTCAGTGAAGATCAAACTCACTATTCTGTCATAAATGTTTTAGCAAGACAAGCTTGCTTACCATTACACCACACTGAGATGCCCAATATATCAGTTACATTTGAGGTCTGGAGCAAACTTGAGATCAAATAGATGTTCAAATCATGAGGCCTTATCAAGAGTGGAGTCTTTCACTGGCAATAGAGAAAATCCAGGCACGACAGCATCTTAATTACATTGTTTATTGTCAGAATATGTTTATATTTTTATACATTTCTTAAATTTGCAATATTCCTGTTTCAGGAAAAGAAACAAGCAAAACAAAACAAAAAAACAACATTTAAGTTTAGTGAGATGAAACTGTTTATACTTAGCAACTGAAAAATAAAAAAAAGAAAACATTTTTTTTTTCCAGAGAAAAGATCGAACCTGTGGTATAATCTTTGATGTTTCCGTAACCAAGGAAAAGGCAATGTTGGTGCCAAGCCCTGCATTTAGACGTCTCCCTGTCAGTATAAGTGTCGCATGGTTTGAGCGGAGAAACACATTATGAAAGGCGATTGTAAGCTGGGTAGAATGTTTTGGCTGAATTGTGATGCTGTTTCCCTTGGGAAGAGTAAAATTAATGGCATCATCTCCAATGATGGTAACTGCATAGTTCAGAGCTTTGGTACTTGGATTTGTTAGTTTCACCTGAAAGCAATGTAGAACTTATATTAAATATGCAAAGTAATTTGTATACAAGTGTGTTGTATAACCTAAATATGCACAGAAGAAAGATGAAATGAATTTACAAAGCATTATGGGCTTGGTAAATACATATTTGCTGTTATGGTTTTTAACCTGTCTTGTGTGGCTAAAATAACATGATAATCCCTGCATATATCATTTTTACTTCATCATGCTTATGTTTATGTGATTAACACCAGGAAATACCAGATGGCTGGAACTGAATTTAATGTCAGTGATGAACATTTGTTCCATGAGAAGCTGATCTGTGATCGTTATTGTTAAATATTTCATATGTAAAATTTTCTGGATTTCATCAATTAATAATATGAGGGTATTTGGTTTTGGGAACTTTCTTTAAACATAGACCTCCTCTATGTGAGTTTGTGAGAAACTATCTTTTTGCTCTGACATAGGTTGCTTATATAATTTCCTGTGATATTTTTGTCCCATGTGCACACACCATAAGGATCAGTTGGTTCAACCGAATGTTTACATATCAAAGAGAGCAACAAAAATTCTTTGAATCCAAACTATGCACCTGGTGGCTCTGTGGTTACTTTTCAGATGAACTCAGATCTTCTGAGTCTCTGGTGTGACAATGGGGTACATACATAGTTCAACTTTTCTTATAACAAATATTCTTTATTGGTATTAAATTCGATTCAGACCTTGTATTTCCTGGTGTGAATCACATTCTGGATTTAGAAGCAAATAGCTGTAATGTACAAGAATTATAAAATATATTTTCATAAAAGGAAATAATCCAAAACATAAGATGATTATTGAAACATTGATGGCCAAGAACATAGAGAACTCCAATCAGTTCAACCAGTTCTCTAAGAGAGAGAGTGAATGACGAAAAAAGAAGTAGGAGGTTAAAGAGTGAGAAGTTTGAGAGAAAACTAAAAAAAAAAAGAGTGAGAGAGAGGAAAAGAAAGATTTGATCTGATTTCTTTATGGCTTATCAATCCTTTAAAGCTAGAACATAATTTTGGATTGTAAAAATTATTCTTTATTTTTGTGAATGAATTTTTGCATTAAAAAGAAAGAAAGTAAAATAAGAAAGAATGCATTTAAACAAAGGTGTACTGAAAGTTCTCAGCCCAACAATCTTCCGAAAATCTCAAAATCTAATCAGGAGATTAAATATCAGATTTTCTTTCAGATCCTTTTCTGATTATAAAAGATGATGAGATTGAGAAAAAATAAAACAAAGAGATGAGAAGATAATAAAAGATGATAAAATTGGTAGATCATAAAACAAAGTAATGATCACATAATAAAAGATGTTGAGACTGACTGAACATAAAACAAAAAAGAGATGAGAGAGAGAGAGAGAGAGAGAAATGAAGAGTAAAACAGCAAAGAGAAAATAAAATAAAGAGGCTAAGACAAAAAGTAAAAATGAGAATAAAAAAATTATAAAGTGAGAAATTGAAACTGAAATGGAAAGTAAAAGAGTGAGAAATAAAGAGGAAAAATAAAGAGAAAATGAAATTATGAAGCTTTTATATTGGGAAATAGACTTGTCTATTGTCAGTGTTTTTTAGAAGCCATGTCACTGAAGGGTTTAGTTAGTTCTACCTTTACTGTTTCTCAAAATGTACTGATGTAAATAATGTTTTTTTTTTTTTTTTTACCTAAGACGGTGCCATTGAACAACATGTTATATTAGAAGCAAAAAAAAAAAAAACGGAGAAAATGAAAGAGAGAGTAGAAAGTGTAAACAAAGATGTAGAAGTAAGAAAGAGAATGAAGCAAAAAAAAAGAAGGAATAAGAAAGAGAATGCAATGAGAGAGTGAAGGCAAGTGAAAAAGAAATAAAAAAGAAGAACGAGAGAGGAAAGAGTGTGTGTGTGAGAGAGAAATAGCAAGTAAGAAGTATATTTTGGGAGAGAGAAAGAGTCAGCAGCTTCTGCATTCTTCTGTGTCTGTTATTGACATCTAAATAACCCACTCCACATGATTTATTTTATTAGAAGTGCAATTCCTTCAACAAAGGGGAAGTGGTGCATCATGTGCCATCTGCATCTAAGTAATGCAATATTATAATTTGATGTCTTTCTATATAGGCTAGCATGTGTATTTTTGTTGTAATGTTCCCTGTGTTTTGACCAGTGCACTCTCTAGCCTTCTTCAGTTATCTATCATACGCTGTAATATTCTTGGAACTGAACACTTTATTCAATCTGTGGGATTAGGTTGTTCACATTTTTCTTTCTATGCTTAGAGGACATTGGGAATAGGCAAGAAAGAATTGATTTTATGACATATTCTCTAGACATAGAAAGTACAATCTACAGCAGGCACCTGAGGAAGGTCAGTGAGTGCTATGGGCAAAACACTGTGAGAATAAAAATCAATTTAGAGAACAAGATTGGGAAATTTTACTGTTCTTGCTCAAATATTCCACAAACTGGATTTGTTAGTGAACTTTTTGTCTGTTGGTTTAATTGAATAAAACTTCAAAAACCTTGATTCTACATCCTTTGCTTGACAATATGTATAGATATGAGAAGGTACTGAAAAAACCTCAGCCTAATCAAAAGGTTCTTCTCATGAAAAATTTGATGTTTGGTCATAACCTTTTCAGTACCCTCTAATTTGACATACTTCATATAGAAAATATTAAAATTTCCCTTTCTTTATGCTGTGTGATGATAGCCTATGGGTAAGATATCTGACTGATCCTGGATTAAAGAAAGCATACATCTAACCACACTGAAGAGCTGTGATACAGCAGAACAGTCTGTCAGTGGATATATATATATATATATATATATATATAGAGAGAGAGAGAGAGAGAGAGTGAGTGATTGAGAGAGAAACAAGTTTCACAAATATATACCACTCAGCATGGGTTAGATAATTCAATTGAAATATGTAGCCCATTGATGAAAAGATTATATCTGCAAAACTTGAAATCAGGAAGATAAGTTCTTGAACTTTTTATTCGATTGGGAAGAAACACAATATCTTATTATTACACACACACATACATACATACATACCTACCTATATATATATATATATATATATATATATATATATATATATATATATATATAGAGACACATATACAAACATATACCTATGTACACATTTATCTATATATGTAGGAATTAATTTAAGTAAAATAAGTGTCGCTTAACTGATTGATGTTACATTCAGTATCCCAACTCCAGAGTTTTTAAGACAGACCCTCTGGGAATCACTTTGTCCACTCGTCAGGGGATATCCCCAATTGACTTGGTATGTCAGATAAATGCATTCATTTTTCCAATGTTATTTGAATTAACACACACAAAATATTTTAACCTAGTGTCTTTGTGGGGTGGGGAGTTGTAATTATTCTTCCACATCTTTTGTTTATCATTTTATACAACTGACAGGTTTGTTAAAATTGTTGGTGAATAATAGGATTAAGATAAATGAAAAAAAACAAATCTATTTGACAATACACGGCACAATATATACATATATATATATATATATATATATATATATATATATTTATATATATATATATTAATTAATATAGACAAGTTTTGTCAATTTATTTTAAGTAAATTCCTTTCATATTGTTGGATAAGCTTTTTAGTATTATCATTGAAACATGAAAGAAAATCACCATGTTGATACATGTTTTTATTGTTAATCCTATCTAAGCTTTTCGCTTACATAAGCCATCATCAGAGATTACAAGTATATTACAATAAATTAGATAATAAATTAAATAACAAAGATGGCAATTTTTGTTTTAGATTGGTTATGCCGACATTGCAATAATGATTGTTTACATGGAAGATTGCTATGCAACGATAAATTTGTGCATATGAAACACAGGAAGCAGGTATCGCATTGCAGTTCATGGCATCATGCATGACCACATGAAAGTGAAAATGAAGAAAAGAGTTAAGTATGGAAACATATATATATATATATATATATATATATATATATATATATATATATATATATATATATATCAAATATGTGGTGCAGTTCAATTTACATTACATGAATTATTCATACAAAAAACAGATATAGAAGTTAATGATTTAAATGGTGAGAATACATCTTCACAAACAAATTTAGTAAAGTACATTAACCCCAAACCTGTATATGAATGTTATGATCCCTGTTTATAAATTCCAGTCGCATAAGGTCTTTTTTAGTTTTTTACAAGAAACGTGTGAATTTCTTTTCATTTTTCATTTCAGCTTTTGGAAGTAAAGTCTGATGATCCAAAACCCTGTTAAAGGGGTTATGGTGAAATAGCTTATTACATGGAATCTTAACGTGGTCTGTTTTTTATTCAAATATATATATATATATATATATATATATATGTGAAAAATGTATCTAAATATAAATAAATATATATATGTATAATTATTTATATATTATATGCATGGTACTTATTAGAAAGTGCTCAATATCAGAGATAGAGCTAACATATTTGGTTGGATAGATGTGATTTGTGACCCTAGGTTTCACGCTTTAGCGATCATCAGACTGCTAAAGCGTGAAACCCAGGGTCACAAACTCATATCTATCCAACTAAATATATATATATATATATATATATATATATATATTTATATTTCTTTCATTCTTCTTTACGTGTCAACTTGGGGAAGAAAATCCACATGAATCAATTTTTTAAAAACTACAAATTTTTATATGAATAATATAAAAGGGCTCTACTGTATTTAGTAAAAGAGAAAGATTTCCTAAGCATAATGTAGCCCTTTGATATAGGATTGTGGAGGTCAGAAAGAATTATTTTGTATTGCCTTTGTTCAATAACAAGTCATGCTTGTTTTAGTTTCTCTTTTTCCTTGAAGGATCTGGAAGGGGTAGCAAAATGAGTGAAATTTAAAGAAGCTATTACCAAAGTACAGAAGAAAGAAAACTAACCACACTGAAAAACTATTTTACCTGTTTTGTAATAGTTTCTGTTAAATCCCCAACAAATTCCACAGTATTGTGAGGGATATAATGAGGCAAAACTTGAAACAGATGTGCACAAAAGAGAAGCATATAAATTGGGTTTGGGTCAATGATATCCATTGCCTGAAAAACAAAAAAAAAAAATGTAGAAAATCATTAGTTACTCAGTAAATATGTATTTATTCAAAGCATATTCATATTTTAAAAGCTGAACAGAGATCATCTCAAAATGAAATTGTGACTGACCGATGTTACTTAGTATACAGTAGAGTGTATTGTTCTGAAATTTAAAATATTCTGAGCTTTTTTATGCACTGTGTCCCTTCAGGACATAAGCAATCATGGCTCTCCACAATTTCCTGTCCTTTGTAGCTATCAATAAATTTAGTCTTTTTGTTATTTATCCTAAACTTTGTTCCGCCATCCATTTAATCAAGTATTTTTTTTTTTAAAGCATTTAACCCCTAGCAAGGCGGGAAGCCACTAGCATGCAAGGGGTTACAGAGGATTTGGAGCGAGAGCAGATAGGAGTGATAGAGGAAAGGATAAGCAGAAGGACAGTGGATAGATCAAGGCAACTGGAGATGTCAATTGACATTGCATTTGAATAGTTGGAGATTATAGCTATCAGTGAAATGTATGTTACATTTTTTTTTGTCCTCAGAGTATCAGATTTTTCAAGTCCTCTTCCCTCATTAGAAATTTCAATTGTTTCTTCCTGATGTTAAGTATAAGTTTTGTTTTTACTTCCATTTTCTCTAAAACTTCCTCGTTGCTCACATATTCAGTCCATGGTATCCTCAGTATCCTTCTGTAGAACCAAATTTCTGTTGTTTCAAGTCTCTTGTTCATCTTTAAGGAGATTGCCCAGCATTCACTGGCATATAGGAGTACAGATATCATGTAACAATTCAGTACTCTTTTCTTTGTCTCTAATAAAGTTTCTCTGCACTTCCTGTTCTCTGTTAAAACACTTCTGATATATTCAAATATTTGTACTTGTTTGATTTTGGTATGTTCAATTTGTAATTCTCTATGTTCAGTTTTTCTTCTTCTAGAATGGTTGTCAGCCAAGGCCAGAGAGGCTGTTTTGCTGTGTTATTTAATCTCCAGCTGGTGGGAGAAGAGATGTATTTATGTCTTACCCCAGGCTTGCTATCCATTACATCACCCAGGTATCCATTATATATATATATATATATATATATATATATATATATATATATGTATGTATGTATGAAAAAAAAAAAGTTATATAAATCAGACTAATGGTGGCTAACTGAATGACTAAAATTGAAAATTATATGTAATGCATTTTATCCTTTAAAAGGACTTTATCAGATCAAAATGTTATTTAACCCACACTTCACCACACACAAATAATCAAATCAGCATAAATAGATATACATTTAAAAAAAAATAAACCAGTTTTTTTGGTGATCGCAAAAGCATGAAACTCAGGGTTACATTCTAATATCCAAACAAATGAATATGCTAACTCTATCACAGATATTGAGCACTTTCCATAAAGTACCATATATATATATATATATATATATATATACACTTTATTTTAGGATATTATGTCAAAAAATGCTACACAACTGCAGTCATGTTTTGACGTGTTGATTCGCATCAAAACCTGATTGCAAATGTGTAGCATATTTTGACATGTTTTTGATGCAATACTCTAAAATAAAGAATATTGCTCTACTTTGTATTGAGCCCTCTTTTAAATTAAATGTTATG